CGAGCTCTTCAAGGCGGGCAAGATCACCGCAGATTATGTCTCGACAGAAGAGAAGCACGCCGATATATATGCTCACCAAGGTCCTTGGTAGGGGCAAGTTGGAGTACCACCGGAAGGCTCTGATGAACCTGCCGATGTAGGGTTCTGGTCTCGTTTTCGTGGCGTTTGTTTTGTTTTGTTCTAGCACTGGGCGCGTCTCGGACCATGGTATGTCACGCAGAACGCGTTGGGCGGGGGCGTCACCCGCGGCGGGAGCTTAGGGTTTTTGACCAATTGCTTCGGGTGTGTAATCAGCGTGGCCTGTCCAATCTGTCCTGCCTTGGTCCTGCCCTGATAGTGCGGCCGTTGGAATCCTTCGTGATAGCGACGGTTTTCTTGATGTTTTGAGTTTGTAGGCGAGGGTTTTTGATCCGGATGGCCGAGTTTTTCCCTCGCACCCGTTGTTGTATGAGTAACTAAAGTAGATCTGGAGTGTCCATGCCCCACTGATGGTTTGGCAATAGCTTGACGAACCGGGGAGGGTGTTCGTGTGTCTGGATACGAGCACGGTAGATCTGCTAGCAGCACGGGGGGTACGTAGACAGGAGCATGCGTATGCATGAAAAAGACTACTATGTGTGGGCCCCCTTTCCCGAATTCGGGAGGGCCACTTCTTCCCTTCCTTTCCTCGCTCCCGCGGGTGCCTAATCAGAGTTAGTCATAGCGTGTCTTCTCCTCCCAAGTACGGACATACCAACATGATCTTCCTCTGGCACTGCCGCGAACTCGGGCCGACGCGGGCTTCCAGTGTGACGCGTTCAAAGNCTTAAAAATACTTGAAAACGTAGGTAATGTTGCACGATTACTGTACACAATTTGGCGGGTGATACAGGAAGCAACTCAATGTTGAAATAGGTCTTCCATTCCATGCATGCATGCATGTTGCTGTTGTCATAGAAAGCAATAATCCCATAGTCGGAACCACACTCATTTCGGCGTATGTATGTGCAGGTCAGGAATTCGGTTGCCAATGCGACTGAAGCCCTCAAGCAGGAAGGACTCGACGCTCTAGAGGACGTCACGGTGCTTCGGGGACGCCCAGCCGGACATCGCGACCTCAAGCCCTCACCGGACGGCCTACATTTTGAACGCGTCACACTGGAAGCCCTGCTTCGGCCCGAGTTCGCGACAATGCCAGAGGAAGATCAAGCAGCGTACATTTACTGCATGGCCTCGCCATNGTCCTGCCTGCTTGAGGGCTTCACTCGCATTGGCAACCGACGTCTTGGCCAGTAAATAGTGTCGTTCCAAAAAATGGCATTTTTCCATACTCTGACAACACCAACATGCATGGAACGGAAGAACCACCGCTATTGCATTTTGAACATTGGGANCGTGCTGCTAGCAGATCTACCATGCTCGTATCCAGACACACGAACAGATTAAGCAGCGTACATTTACCGCATGGCCTCGTAAGCTGTTGACGTCACGTTGCTTCGAGCGCGCCCACNGCCCTCAAGCAGGAAGGACTCGACGCTCTAGAGGACGTCACGGTGCTTCGGGGACGCCCAGCCGGACATCGCGACCTCAAGCCCTCACCGGACGGCCTACATTTTGAACGCGTCACACTGGAAGCCCTGCTTCGGCCCGAGTTCGCGACAATGCCAGAGGAAGATCAAGCAGCGTACATTTACTGCATGGCCTCGCCATGCGTTCAAAATGTAGGCCGTCCGGTGAGGGCTTGAGGTCGCGATGTCCGGCTGGGCGCGCTCGATGCAATGTGACGTCCGCTAGAGGGTCCAGTCCTGCCTGCTTGAGGGCTTCACTCGCATTGGCAACCGACGTCTTGGCCTGTAAATAGTGTCGTTCCAAAAAATGGCATTATTCCATACTCTGACAACACCAACATGCATGGAACGGAAGAACTACAGGTCTTGCATATTGAACATTGGGTTGCCTCCTCTACGACCCGCCGAAGGTTGTACAGCGATCGCGCAACATCATCCTACTTTCCGAGTAGTGCTACGTTGGTGAAGGTTTTTCAGTGCGCAGGCAGGTGCGTGAGTCAACCTGATAAGAGGGATGCCTGCGGCAGGGTAAGACGCATGTTATGACATTCAACCCTCCTCTCACGTTTTCGCGCGAACCACAGCAACCAGAGGCCAGGCCCTCGACGNCGATCGCGCAACATCATCCTACTTTCCGAGTAGTGCTACGTTGGTGAAGGGTTTTCAGTGCGCAGGCAGGTGCGTGAGTCAACCTGACAAAAGGGATGCCTGCGGCAGGGTACGACGACATGTTATGACATTCAACCCTCGTCTCACGTTTTCGCGCGAACCACAGCAACCAGAGGCCAGGCTCTCCACCGCGAGAGGCTTGGACGTGGTGTTACTGCACCCCTCCAGAGCGGCCTTGATTCACACTATCTGATCGCATAACGTGGTCTTGACAACTGCTTCGGTGATATCTTGCGCACCTGGGTGTTGAGCGCGATAGTCGAAAGCGGGCCCGGGCGAGTGTTCGCGATATTTCTGATGAGGGGGTAAATACGTCTCTCTTGTAGCTGAAAAATGCATGTCCTACATCATAGGCTATTTTGGTGCGTTTTGAGTGCAACAAAAATAAAGGCCAGCGCTGGACTCCTCAACACAACCAAAGAACCCGGAAAACCGGACACGCGAAATGCCATGGGTGCGCTCAACTATTGGCAAGCACGTTGTACATCGGTGCCATTTGGTGAAAGGAGTGCAAGTCTCGTCGTGTTTTTTTTACACCCACACGCAGCAGGCATGTCTACTCTCACGTCNTCTGATGAGGGGGTAAATACGTCTCTCTTGTAGCTGAAAAATGCATGTCCTACATCATAGGCTATTTTGGTGCGTTTTGAGTGCAACAAAAATAAAGGCCAGCGCTGGACTCCTCAACACAACCAAAGAACCCGGAAAACCGGACACGCGAAATGCCATGGGTGCGCTCAACTATTGGCAAGCACGTTGTACATCGGTGCCATTTGGTGAAAGGAGTGCAAGTCTCGTCGTGTTTTTTTTACACCCACACGCAGCAGGCATGTCTACTCTCACGTCTCACGCTCCTGTGTTGAAGCAATTTTTCGGTGCAAGACAATGGCCACCTCTCTGTGCCTGGCATCGGCGGCCCTGACATATACATCAAGTGTATGTAGTANCTCACGCTCCTGTGTTGAAGCAATTTTTCGGTGCAAGACAATGGCCACCTATCTGTGCCTGGCATCGGCGGCCCTGACATATACATCAAGTGTAGACTATGTAGTGNCGCGATATTTCTGATGAGGGGGTAAATACGTCTCTCTTGTAGCTGAAAAATGCATGTCCTACATCATAGGCTATTTTGGTGCGTTTTGAGTGCAACAAAAATAAAGGCCAGCGCTGGACTCCTCAACACAACCAAAGAACCCGGAAAACCGGACACGCGAAATGCCATGGGTGCGCTCAACTATTGGCAAGCACGTTGTACATCGGTGCCATTTGGTGAAAGGAGTGCAAGTCTCGTCGTGTTTTTTTTACACCCACACGCAGCAGGCATGTCTACTCTCACGTCTCACGCTCCTGTGTTGAAGCAATTTTTCGGTGCAAGACAATGGCCACCTATCTGTGCCTGGCATCGGCGGCCCTGACATATACATCAAGTGTAGACTATGTAGTGAGGTGCAAACCAAACCCATTATGTCGAGATCACACATCAACGCCTTGTGCAGTTCAGGTTGCAGGAACGTACGAGCCGCCATGGATCAATGTAAGACTGACGGAACCAATCCCTCCGCACATACTAACTTGCAGCTATCAACCTCTCCGTTTCCGCGTTCACTGCACGATGAACATCAACGAGCACGCAGGCCTCTTGTCCTGACTCCTTGTTGTGGAGTGCACGAAGAGCTGCACATATGTTGCAATACATAAAAAAACTCAGCTCGTGGGTGCGTTTACTTGTCCTGGCATGAAAACGATTTCCTGGGTTTCATCATGACATTGACATCATTCCTAGCCACGAGCGAGCGCGAACACCGCTGTCTTTCTGGCCCTGTCTACTGCTTTCACGAGCCGATTGTCAACTATGATGCCAAAGCTGCTACAAATTGATTCCCGAAGAAAGTGAATACCTTCGAAAAATATACCCTTGAAATATGTGAGTGTACTGCCTCTTCGAGGTCTAAGACCGATGATCGATACGGACGGCGCAACCCTGTCGCGAGTAGAAACATTGCGATTGCCGGAGGTAAAGAGGAGTATACGAACAACATCAATTCGATCCTCTGCTGTGGCTTCTCTACCTATTCTCGTTGTGGAACCCAGAATTTTGAGCCAAGCACAAACCCATGGTACACGAACTCGAAGTAGGCTCGCGCAAAGTACAAGATCGGGAACACATTACTTGCTGTAAACCCTAACCTATCTTTCATATATGCACCATAGTACCTGTGGCGCCCATCGATGACTCTCAGGGACATTGGTTTCGCAGCGATCTACGGCGGATCCTGCCGAGATTGGTGTCGTGTTGATTTCCAAGTGTACCCTGAAATGGTGATAATCCACCCTGGTATACCCTTTTCTGGTTACTTCTCGCTCCGTTTTCAGTCGCAGTGCCCCCTCGACCTCGTGTCCTCTGTCTGTGCTGTCTATCTCGTTCCCCGAGGGTTAACTCGAACCCCGAACCCCTGCGCGGCTTGCGCTTGAGAGCCTGCTTGCGGATTGTGCATATATCAGGCCCTCGTGAGTCCACTGGCCCGAAGTTTGGCCTGACAGAAAAGTGGGCGCGGAGGGACTTTTGTACTGCGAGGAGCATCAGTCTCTCACTACCTTGCTATTTAACGCTGCTGCTGTGAGCTGCACCCGGCTTCAGGTGGGAGGGTGTCGCGAAGGCATGCATGTGATCATGTGATCAAGGGAACGTTAAGTTAGGCGCCACAGAGCAGTGGCGTTGCCGTTCTTCTACGCCTAGTTTGTTGTGCTCTTCGACCGTTTTACATGTGTCCGCCTGAAGCAGGACAGAGGGACCGCGGGGCATCCATCCGTAGATCCTACGAGGCCTTCGACATCCAGTGCCCTGGCCAGGGCGGCGCCGATGGTCGTGGTGCGGGCAAAGTAGACGATGCACGGCTGGTGTTTGTGGCATAAATATCTGCTGGGTAAACACCTTGCTGAACTACAGAAGTAGTTCATGACTTGGTGACAGAGCACATCACAATATAGTCCCACACGGTTGGAAACAACTACGTGTTGTGTTCGTAAGCTACTACAATGTACGTCATGGCCCCGAACTGATCGATCACGTGCGACAGCGACCGAGCTCCAGCTTTTCCCCGTGACAACGTTACGATGGACGCCATGACTGGCATGTGATAGCCTTTGGGCGGTGCTTGGTGCCTTCCTGGCTCATCTTTCACATATCCAGCATGGGTAGTGTATGTGTAGTTGTCGCTTTGACTGACCGACCTCTCCTGCTTGTCGCTGTTCGCCTCCGCTGTGTTTGTTTTTCTCCCTTTTGTTGTCTCTCTTCACCGCCTCGCACACCGTGCCCCCGTCGCTACACCTTGTTCCCTCTTCGACCAACTATGTAGTCGAACGGCACACGGAGACAGAGAAGGCCTATCAAGTCGCCGCCACCGCGTACGACCACCAACATGCCTCCACACAGCAAGAAACCCCTCGTCCTCCTTGCCGCGGCCCTCGCCGCCCCCCTCCCGCCGCGAGCTCGGTCGGCGATGATCGTCCCCCTCATCCCGCCCCCCTACGACGAGCAGTTCTCCGGAGATGCCACGTACTACGGGGTCACCCCCGACGGGGACGGCAACTGCGCGATCCGATCCCCGCTCCCTGAGATGTACGACGGGATGATCCCGGTCGCCCTGAACGACGAGCAGTACGCGGACTCGTACATGTGCGGCGCGTGCATCGAGGGGGAGGGCTCCGGGGAGGGGGAGGGCGGGGACCCCGTGGAAGGGGCGTTCAAGGCGTACGTGACAGACAGGTCTGGAGCCAGTAGCCTTGGCAGGGTTATTATTCGATGAAGTATGTGCAACATGTTGGACAATGCATGCAATCGGGGAAGTCGGGTTAGCGTTTTGGTTAGGGATAACGGTCTACGTACCCCGTCTGGTTAGGGATAACGGTCTACGTACCCCGTCCCTGTTCTATTTGCTCACAAACTCATACCAAGGCAGTCCTCTGGAGCGGGGCCGGATCACGGGAAAGCTCGCACATACTTGCTGCTCTTGGATGCTTGTGCCTGCGAGCTGTGGCTCGCGTCTGCGGGCTGTGGCTCGCCAGCTTAGAGGATAGACGTGTTCGACTTGTTCCTTTTTAGTCGTTGCTCTGCCTGGCATCGGCGCTTGAGGTTGTTGCTAATGTTGTTTCACAGTATGGATCGTTCCAGTCTCTGCTCAGTGCCTTCCGATATCCGTACTGGTCCAACTGACGCGGACCCCTTCCGTGGTAGCATGTAAGAGAATACAAAACCCCTTCAGTCGACGAGCATCCTCCTTCGTAAACGGGACGATACACGATAGCAGTCACAGCGAAAAGGCCACGACGGTGCGAAACAGGTGCCCAGAGTGCTTATTCGGCGATCTGGACTTTGCCGCGGACGGAGACGGTCGGTGGGACATCTCGTGGCACTTCGTCCCCTGCGAGGGTAGCTCTGACCAGACGTTCCTCTTTGAGGGCAGCAACGAGTTCTACTGGAAGGTGAATCGCTAGCGCAAACAGCAAAGTCGAGAGAACGGTGCTGTGTGAGTTTGATGTTAGCAAGCCTGGGTCAAACCGGTCAGTCTGCATGCTGCTTGGTCGAATGGTTTCGACGAATGTTCACACCGTTGTTATTGAATTGCTAAGGCAAATGCGTGGGTCACCCGGTACATGCTTGGTCAGTGGATCTCGTAAATCGTTTCGCCGCTGGCGCTCAAGTTTTTTCCTGCGAAGGCCTTAAAGAACTTCTGCCGGATAGGATAGTGTAGGCATGAACACATCCTTGGGCAAGCAGTTCCTGTCCGACGCCCCGGTTTGCTGGTCCACACGTAAAACGTGATGCCTAGTCTATTGCAGGCATCGAGGACTCTTTGAAAAAAGTTTCCTCGGGTCTGCCGTGCACGCATTGCTTGCGGGGCCCCGTGACACCCCTACACCGACGAACCCTTCGCGCCTCTTGGTCTGCTCTCGGTATATGACACCTACATGCAGGCTGGCGTCAAGTTGATACTCCAGTACCCGCGGTCTCTACGTGCATGCGCTCATTTTGGCCGGATATGTATGCGTGGCTGTGTGTTCTTTTGCTGTGACCTATTCGTTATATGCATCTGTACAGGAAGCTTGGTGTATGGTACGTCCCCGGCGATCTGGGAACCCGTTGCCACTGACTGCTGCCAGCGCCGCCTTTTGATGCTCCCTTCCCCACGGCGTCTGTTTTGGTTAGATCCAGCCCCGCGGAGGGCGTTCGCCTGTGGAGAGGCTCTGGATCAACGGTGACGAAGCCGAACGCTCGGAGGATAACTTTTTCATTCTCGAGGGAGGCCCGTTCGACGGAGAGCAAGAGGTGCACACCAAGACTGTGCTCAACAAGCGGAGAAGGCAGAGGGTCGCCATGGCGTAGATATATCTCACCACCGAGACTGCTTTGCGGAAGAGGAGGGGAAAAGCTCGCGAGCAAGGCTGCCTGGAACAGGAGGAGGAAGCAGAGCGTTGCTGCTATGGAGTACCCCTGAGAAAGGGAGACAGCAGATCGTTGCTGCCATGGTGCAGCTCACAGCCAGACCGTCTTGTGACAGTAGGAGGAAGCGGAGCGTTGGTGCCACGATGTAGCTCACGCCAATACTGCGGAGGGAGAGGGAAAAGCAAAGCGTGGCCATGGTGATCCTCGCAGCAATAACGTCCTGAAGAGGGTCAGGAAGCAATAGTGTTGCTGCCTTGGAGTAGATCGTAGCAAGACTCAAGTACCTCTTTCCTTTCTTGGCTAGGGTCGCCTTTAACAGTTGTGCCGGGCACTGCTGCTGTCTCGATTCCACGTTTTTGTCGAACTTTCCGATCCCTTGCGATACGTCGTGCAGTTTTACTTGTATATTTTTATCGTGCTGTTTTACGTCATATTGTCGTGGGTCGTCGTGGAATCGTAACGGTGCCCCGTCATAGCCTTAGTCTTATCCATTCTTTGATTATTTTATCACCTTCTTGGCCTGCACTGCAGCAGGGACTCAGAGGGAGGACACGAACATCATTTCCGGGCCCGGTTCCAATTTGCTTTCGTCGCCACTGTCGAGCACAGGCTATTTAGACTATATTGAGTTGGCGTGGGGTCCTCTTGATTCACCGTCTCTTTTTGTTGTGAACAAGATATCTGTTGTTTAGCCTTTTTTTGATTGTTTTTTTACTTGCCCGTTTAGCCTGTATATCTGTGCGTCTAGTAGTAGTTGCTGGGCGTATCCTCGTTGTTTCACTCACAACTATTCGACCCTTCACCATTGGGCAACGCTATGGACATTTTTTTTTTTTCCGTCCGAAGGGCGTGTGCTTCGGAAGTGGTGACATCACCGACCCGCATCTTCGTTGTACACATTTGTACGTAAATCGCGTCCTTGAGTCTTTGACGATGGGGGCATGGGGCAGATAAATAAACACAATGAGCTACTTTCATATCTTGAGGTACTCCGTGTTGGGCCTCGGCGTTCCCTCCCCCCCTCCGATGACGCCGACGCCGGGCTTCGTACTGCCGTTCCTCGTGTGTTGTACTGGCTAGGCGGCGGGTCGGGCCGTTCACCGCCGACCATTCGACTAGAGCGAGCTAACCACTTTTGGTCTGCTTCGTGTCATAGACCACCGAAAACAACGCCTCCACGGTTTTCGGGGCGGGGGGGGGGGTTGTCCGTGTTGTGCCCGTGGGGAAGTATTCCTGGGAGATTTTTTCATGTTTTCGGGGAAAGGATCGAGCAACTGCTGGAACATGTAGGTGTAACTTGCCATTTTTGGGTCAATGGCGGTAAATGGGAGATAGATGTCGGGAGTTTTGACCCTTGATGAATGTCTCTTGTTCGTGTCGCAAGTAAGTGTTGGAACTGCTTTCGTACGGCAACGTTATAGCTGGCCTCTTCGTGCTCTCGGAGCGTTCTTGTCTACATCGACACGTGTCGTCACAGAAGATGTCGCGAATCGGCAAAACGACCATCACGGAAGTTATTTTTGCCTTGAGTTTTGTTGCTGGAAACTACAATTCTCCAGCATGTGTAGCGTGTAGCAAACCAATGGAGCTGATGGCGGGAAAAGAAACGAGTCTCGAAGCATGCAGCCAAACGGTCCGCGCTACCTTGCCATGCCACCAGAAACAACACGTTCCGTCCGGGGAAAAGCTAGAAGAGGGGGGGAGGGCTTCAGACAAGGCTGGAGGCCACTCTCGGGGATACCAGAAACACGAAAAAGTGCTGTGGAGAGCACTTGACATGTGCGGGTGAGCAGAAAATGGGTCGAGCGCTTTGTGCACGGTGACACCAGAAATGAAGTGTGCTTGTTTTCGCCGCTGCCCCGTGCAGAAGCGAATCTGGTGGCCCGGCGTCCATCGTACCGGACGAGGTGAGAACCCCCAATTCTTCTGTGCAAAGAAGTGCACTCTGCCACCACCTGTCCATAAAGAAGTTCGACACATGATGAATTCAGAACTGTTACCATTCCGATTGCGCGTTGAATAAACTGAGACATTTTCTTACCCAACATTTCAACACCAATCGGTCCACCGTTTATCGCTCACAGCAGTTCACTGAGATATGCAATCCGCGTTGTTCTTGCGTGCCCAAACCAGCCCCCGACCCAGGGATCGTGTGCGTCTGAGCCTTCCTACCCGGCACGCGACAAGCCCGGGAGACACTGACGGGCAACAACGACCATACCTAGAAAAATAATATAATTCCGACATGCGACAAGGATATCGATCAAAGTCTTCCGGCGAAGGCAGACACGGCAGCAGCAATGGCGTTCACAGCACATCTGAAAACGATGCCCGCCTGAGCGCTGAAAACAGTATTATCCCGCCCCTTCAAGCTGCTGTGTCATCCACCTAGCCGTCCGTCCAGCGGACCGTCGAGCGCGGTGGTTCTGGTTGGGTTGTTCCGTTTGGGGAACACTCCGATAACATTCGGCATCCACCAAAGCGCCTATCTTCGACCAGCCAAGCTAGAGAGATCCATTGGAGATGCACAGTAGAGGCCGATCAATCGACAGGAAGTCTACAAAATCTACGAAAAACGGGGTTCGACGTTTTGTTCTCGCTTACTGCCCGTTTGGGTCAAGGCCTTCCCAGTACTTTCGACGTCCACCGATTGAGACCCCGCATCTAGATCGATCACACACCACACCATAAATGTCGAGCACACTCAGAGAAACGAATCAAATCACCGGAGTTGTACGGATGCCCGTGCCTCGTGTTTCATTCCGAACCGAACAGTGTCGTATGCATGAGAATGAAACCGTCAATACTCAGGTCAACCCTCCCCACCCAACAAAACATAAATCCAGCCCGTCAACAAACACCAAACTCGATCGAAATCGCTTCCCCACATTCTACATCACCGCCTGCCCTTCAAGCCGAGGATTTCGAGTATTCTTTGCGCCTCTTCTTCCCACTGGGGCTCTGGGTGTGATGTCAGCGCCCCCGGGATACCCAGCTCCGCCCTCGCCCCTTCGGGATCGCGGACGGCGTCCACCTGTGCGGGTTGAATGCGTTTGAGGGACACACCAAGCAAGCAGAGACATTGTCGAGGCACCGGGTACTCGATCTAAAAAAAAACTCTGACAGGAGGCATGATTGCCTGAGGGGTACCGTGATTGTGCGTGCTATCGCACCCCCCGTGTTAGCGGTTTTCTATAGCGTATTTATCCACAACCAGGGAGGTGTCACCTCCGAAAAAGGTAGTTTTGGAAACATCTCGTCGAGGGCCGCAGAGGTATCAGCTGGTGTTCGCACCTTCCTAGTTGTGGAGAAATACGCCATAGAAAAACGCTAACCCGGGGGTGCGAAAACACGCACGAGTACGGTATATCAATCGGTTGAGTCGAGCTCTCGATTCGACTGCACAAGAGACCACTACCTGATTATAGACGGGGTACGTTTGCGCGCATCTGCCTTGAACACAGCTCAACCAACTCCGTACTTTCGAGGATTAAAACCACGCCCAAGAATGTTGCAAGCATCCGCCAACGGCAACACGACCGCGAAAGTTACGCGAGGGAAGCAAGGGCAAAGAGAGCCAGGTCAAAACAAATATATTAGGGGGACCAAAAAATCGAAGGAGCTACGCCATTATCACGGCGGCCAGCTCCGCCGACTTGTCTTGGGGGTACCGTGTGACCGGAAGGCACCGACGCCGCCCAAAGGCGGCACCGAAGTAGAAGGTGATGCAGACATGACTCACCATCTTGAAGCACAGCTCCGACGACCAGTACTCGTCGAGCGACGCTAACGTGCCCGCGATGCTGAGGGTCTCGGTGATGTCGGTCGCTCCAAACGCCCCGGCCAACTGACAAAGAAAAAAAAAACGAGCATGGGAGCAGAAAGAACGGATGAGCGGGTGCGACAAGGGCGCACAGACAAACGTGAAAACGGCAGGTACTATTATCGAGAGGTCGAAACGAAGTTCAAATAGTGGTGTACAAGTAGTACTTTGGAGGAACGGTCCTAAATAGACGTGTTTTATTGTATTTTCAATGTCACTTGGTTTTGGAGTTCCCTCCCCTTCAGGCCCTTTGGAGGTACCAAGGAGTACATAACACGAAGCCAACCCTCACTCGTTCTCAAGCAGACACAACATTTTGACAAACTGTTGGAGAGTTGAAATTTTTCTTATTTGTTCGTTGAGGTTCGCTGGGCTGTTCGACTGTTCGAGCCAAAAACACGTCAGCTGCGTGAGCTGTTGAGCTTGGGAAACGTCACACCGCAGCTGGAAGCCAGCTGTGGGTTGTTCCTGCTGCCTGGTTCGATTCTCATCTTGCACCACCCCTTGATGATACGGCTGTGCTCTCATGAACCCCACTCCGGAGGGATCATTCGTACCCTGCTGCAAACACGCTTTTACCTGCGTGCAGAGGCCGTCCAAGAGGTTGTTCGCATCCCCGATGATCTTAGCCCCTTCCTTTGCCACGTTGTTTCGCATGCACTGCCCCGCCCGAACCACCATGTTCCTATTGCACCAAACGAACAGGCGAGAAAGGGAAGTCGGGTGTTCCCGTTCGCGGTTTTAGATACAAGAGAGAGTTCGCGGCTTCAGGACAAAAGAATGGGGGGCAAGCGGATGAACATTTCAGCAGCAAGAGCCGGCACCCAAGAACAGCGATATTTCGGGAGCACAGGCTCAATTTACTGTTTCGTCACCACCGTCGAGCGCCGGATATCATACGCTTGTACTCCAGAGAAAACAATAGTGTAGGACCCCCCGCTGAGCTGCGTTTATTCACCCCGTGTGTTGCCGCTACACACTGAATAACTCACTTGAGGGACACCTTGAGCTCCTTGGCCACAACCTCGAGCGCCATTGGTCCCGACACGCCCACTCTCGCCGCCGTGGCCATCAACTCCTACCAAAAAAAAAAAACGAGGTTTCACGTGAAGGTGGAAGCGACAGGGAGCGAACGGGCATGGTAGCGAAAAAGAAAAAGGGTGTGTGGGGGGGGGGGGACAGCTATCAAGGCAGGACTAGCAACAACATCTACACCACGAGCATCACCGCAAAACAGCAACAACCCTGAAGACACGGAGTCTGCGCGGTGCATGCCAACCGAGACGCTTCGTGTCCGCCACCGGGAAGGGGCATGGACAGTACAGCAGTGCCTACCTCTAGCTCTTCCTTCGTGAGCGGGTCCGAGCGGAACAGTACTGTCCGTGTGCCGTCGGCCGCCGTCCCCTGCCACAAACGTTGGATACGACACAACACGTACATCCACAGCAGGGAAGGCTCATGTGAGGAAACTAAATTGATCATATCTGTCTACCAAAGATGCTGGCTTAAGATGCTTGGACTCGTCGGCCGCCGTCCGGTCCCAGAAGCGTTCAACACGAAACAAGCAAAAGTACACAGACAGCATGGAAGGTTGATTGACATCGAGGAAGAAGCGAATGCATGTCTGCCTGTCAAAGATGCTGGCTTAATATGCTTGGACTCGTGGACGCGCAGAAACGCAGGGGACTGAAACTTGACGACGACATTCGGACTCACTTGGGAACAATCTCTCCGAGAGGCAACTTCACGACTCTACTATTGGTCAAAACCAATGATCGATACAGCAAGAAAATTATGTACTTCCTCCCCTGGTTCTTCCCGGCCGGTTTCTTACCCTATACCCTGTAACCCGACACCACCGAGTGATCTGAGGTCAGTGCAACGCGACTCGTGCCAAATAAAGGATGGCGTGCACTTGATCAGTGTGTGTATTCCGACTAGGAGACCAAGTGGCCAGCACTACTGTAGCAAGCACTACCAAAATTAACAAGAATAGTCGTCCGTGTGGGTCGGCCACTGACTGCTAAGCAAGCGCTTCATCTCTACCTGACTCCGCATCATCTTGAGTAGAGATTGCTCGAATATGTCCCCGCTCACGAGGGAGAACGCCTTCCTCATCGCCTCGTCGTCCAAACCCAGGGTGGCGCACATCTAAGACGGCAACAGGAAACGATTGCGGTGACAAGTGTTCGCTCTGATATTGTTCTTTCCTTCCATTCTGGCGCCAGTCTACCTACCACCTTGCGAACCGTACATTTCACATAGTTGTATGAATCAACCGGGATCACACAGAAGGAAAATACAGACAAAAGGGAAGGGAAAAACGTGTACAGCCACAGAGGTGGACCCGAGCATCATGGACTTCGCGATACGTACAGGCGAAGAGGGCATCGTGTCTCTTCGTCCATGCCTTGGACAAACCCCACGTTACAGTCATGGACAGATCCCTGTGTGAGAGAGTACGCAAACATATTTTTTACTCATGTACTCACGCCTTCGGCACGTGACAAAATAAGTCTGCCACTGCACTCCCAATAACTCACACGACACGTGCGTGAAAGCCTGAGGAAATCGTACAAAAAAACGAACAAATCACCTGGGCGGTCTTGGCCGAAGGCTGCTCCATCCCTGCCTCGATAAGTTTCTGGACGGTCCGATGCAGCGCAAAACGTGGCGCAATTGCG